TGTTGTGTACAGGCTGCGACTTCTCTGCCTGCATAGACCGGTAATTAAATGGTTTTTCATTTACTAATAACAGGTCTAAATGAAGGAGGCACTTGCTTCCAGTGTGCTAGTGCTCCCTTGGGCTCTCCCTAAGAAAACTCCAGCCGTTGCTGAATTCTGTGAATTTTGTAGCCCCTGCTAGGGTGATGTGCCTCCAAGCAGGCATGGAGGGATATAGAGGGGTGTCTTTTTACATTAGCTGGGAATGTCCCTTGTGCCCTTCTGGGCTTGGGGATGCACCGGAGCAGTTGGGCAGGAGCCTTCCCGGAGCAGCACGAACTTGGGAAGGGTTTTAGCAGGCTCCCAAGAGAGCGCTACCTCGTTGGGGTGTCTTTTCTTCTTGAGAAAGCAGGTGTTGGAGATGTCCCCTTTGCATTGCTCTGCGTGGTGGTCCTGCAGGCATGTGTCACCCTGAGCATCTGAGCTCTCCCCAGGTCTCCTGGCGGGGCTGTAGCCCAGCACAGCCCCTGGCTGCTGGGGCAGGTGCAGTGGGCCTGAGGTGCAAGTGGAGAGGATGCTGGTTGTTTCAGGGGAACCTGGGGGAGGGAGCAGTCCTTAGAAGCACGGGAAAGCGTCTCTCGTGCTCTCCCGGGCACCCTTTTGCACTGGGTTTGTGAGCGCCCAGGGGGAGGAAGCCGCACTCGTGGCACTAGGGCTGGCGTTGGGATCCCTGGGCTCAGCCCGGCTGCTGCTGTGCCCGCACCTTCCCCCAAAGCAGCGGGTGCTGCGGGGAGGGAAAGGACCTTCCCTGGGGTCTCCAGCTCTGCCACCGCCGGCCTTTCCCCGCAGAAAGCTGCGCTGGCACAGCTTCCAGAACTCGCACCGGCCCAGCCTGAACTCTGCCTCCCTGGAGATCAACCGCCAGTCCTCTGCCCAGCTCAACCTGCTCCAGAAGTGCTCCCTGCTCCGTCTCACGGCCATCATGGAGAAGTACTCTGTGCCCCACAAGCAAGCCTGGACGTGGTGAGCTGGTGGGGAGGGGGCGGTGCCCAGGTGCCAGCTGCAGCTCTGCGCTGTGCTAGGTGCTGCCTCCCAGCCCGGGGCCCACAGCCTGGGGTAGCTTCGGTGTGCGAAGATGGTGGAGAGGGAGCGGGAAAAGCTGAAACAAAAGCTGGCTTTAATCTGCATGGCTGTGGGCATCCTTGCAAGCGTGAGCTGGGGGCTGACACCTGGGCTTCTGGCATCGTCTGCATCCAGGAGGGCTGCAGGCATTTGTGGGGCATTAAAAATGCTGCGGCAACGTCGGAGAAGCGGGACAGTGGTCTCCTATTGTAGCCAAGTATTAAAGCATTTTGGCTTAATAAAAGGTGCTGGAGTTCCTGCTCGAAAGCTGCCTGGCTTATATTCAAAACGTGGCAGAAGCACGTGTGTGTGTGTGTGTGTGTGTGTGTGTGTGTGTGTGTGTGTGTGTGTGTGTGTGTGTGTGTGTGTGTGTGTGTGTGTGTCACCTGGGGTCCTGCTCCCCTCTGCGAGGTGATGCTGAGGGAGCCGTTCATTGCACTGACGTCTGTCTGTCCCACCCCGCAGGACTGTGCCCAACTTCA